ATCATGTTCTCCTAATACAAAATCGCGAAATCGGCCGAAAATTTTCTGGCAAGACTGCAAAACTATTGACCACAAACGGCAAAAGTATTGACCAGAAACGGCAAAAGTATTGACCAGAAACGGCAAAAGTATTGTCCACCGAAGCGGCAAAAGTATTGTCCACCGAAGCGGCAAAACTATTGACCAGGGACGGCAAAAGTATTGTCCACCGAAGCGGCAAAAGTATTGACCAGAGACGGCAAAAGTATTGACCAGAGACGGCAAAAGTATTGACCAGAGACGGCAAAAGTATTGTCTACCGAAGCGGCAAAAGTATTGTCCGAGAATTCTGGGAAATGACGTCATTTCTCGGAACTGGCACGGCGATAGACCTCCTTGCATGTTATGTTCTCCTAATACAAATCCGTGAAATTCCATGCCAAATCTGCGAATTTTATAGGCCCAGATTTCTGTTAGAGCAAGACCTCCTTTAATGTTATGTTCGCCTAATACAAAATTACAACATTGGCAGAAGGTTTCATGCTAACGCTGCGAATTTTTTAGGCTCAGTATTTTTGTAATTCTGTCAGAGCAAGACCTCCTTTAATGTTATGTTCGCCTAATACAAAATTACAACATTGGCAGAAGGTTTCATACCAACACTGCGAAATTTATAGGCCCAGAATTGTTTGAATATGTTGCTATTTATTGAAAATCACAAATTACCATGTTTCTACGATTAATTTATGAAGTTTTATAGCTGCATCGAAAAGCTGGATCTTTGGGCAACATTCCTATATAATTTTCGTACATAATTAGATGCCAATTAATTTGTTATTAATTATTATTTGAAGACGGACGTGAGTCGGTAACAACGACCGCTATGTTTATTCATTAAAATATTTAATTATGAACAAAACCAGAAGTAAAATATGATCAAAAATTGTATAAGAACATGACTAAGGATGTTGTTTTTCGAATGTGTGCATGTAATTCGCAAATAAATTGCATAAAAGATAGTAATTAATGACTAACTCTTAGTATCTACGGCAACAATTCAAACACTTTGTTGAATAATTACTAATAATTAATTAATTAACGAGAAATTTATGTATAAAATGATATTGGAAAGTTCTTTAAGGTTGTCTCTTTACGATGCAATTACAAAAGTTCATAAATTAAGTGCAGAAAGTGACTAATTTGATGATTTTCCCTTTCAAGTTAATCGTGTTGACGATCCGCCATTATATATCCTTTTCTAAGGGTGGTTCTACGCGTTGATTGGTGCTAATGGTGCCAATAAAATTAGACCTGCGATCAGCACCATCTGTGAGTTCCAAATGGAAACTCACGGAGGCTATCGGATACCTCCTCATGCATTCTGTGTTCCTGTTACTTTCTTGAGCTTCGAGTCCAAAATCATAGATGGTGCTGATCGCAAGTCTTTCTTATTGGTTATCTTAGTGCCAATCAACGGTTTAGAAAAGGACAGCGAATAAGGATTTATTTATTAATTAATATGTCATTAATTCTTTCCAATTTGGACAGTATAAAAATCACAAACAATGAGATCAAAACAATGAATATATAATACCATTCTAAATATAAGTAAAAGATGTATATGTATTAATGTCGTTTGTATCTAAAGTCATAAGGAATTGTACTTTTCTTTTTTCCGTACACTATTATATGCTAGCTTGCATTACACCTAGTATCCGAATACGCACAGCTACGGCACTGTCGAGGCTAGAGAAATGTGCAATAGCAGCGTGTCGGTAAAATCCCATGCATACGTTACCGACGAATATTTTCCCGATCTAATCGAATTGAAAACTGTTTCCACAATTCCGTTCTATTGTTTCCTCTTCAGAAAACCCTAAAGAATACGATATCTTGTAGCAAATTCGTGTCGGATAAAGAACTTTTCGTAAAAATGCATGTATAATGCATAGAAAGTATGCTCGGCAATTTATTTTTAAATTTTGATCACCAATTATAAGTATTGAGAAACACAAATAATTAATCATTGATAAACTCCCTACATATGCACCCTAACCTAACATTTAAGATAAGAATGAACCTTCTAACGTTTCCACATTTTATGTAATACTTAATTTTACTCAAATACTTAATTTTTCGTTTTTAAAAAGTCCACAATTTCTAAAACAGAGTGTGATAGAGCAATTTCAATTACCGATTTCAGCAAAGTAAACTCTATGAAAATTACTCAATGAATATTACAGATCAAAATTCGCGTTGAACAGCGCAGTCGACCACGCAACGCGCCTGGAAAGTCTTACTCAAATCGTACTCTCGTCTCTTTTCTTTCGTCTTTCCTTTTTCCTCTTTCCCCTTTCCTCTACTCATCATCGGAATGATTTACGGGAAGAGTTTCGCGGTCGAATGTATTTACGCGGAACTTAAGCTTACGACGTAATGCCGTTGCGTCGGTGAAACCTATGCGAAATTCAGAATATACTGTCTCAACGTGGATCGTGCGACGCCTTAGTAACGTTGTTTCGACGACACAGAATTTTCGGGGGAGAAAGCATCACGGAATGCAGAGGTTAAGGGAATCACGGCACGTGCGCTCCGTACCGACCTCTGGGTACACGAGCAGTTGTACCAATTTATTGGATAAACACAGAGATTTTATTCATCGACCTAACGGTAGTCCTCCGTAAGGATTTATAAGGATTCGTCGGCCTTGCTGGCATTCCGTGACGAAAGCAACGCAGTGCAATAAATGCCACGCAAATACCAAACTGGCTTACGGACCTTCTGGCAAGCTTATGTGCAAATGTCAAAAGCCGTGCAACGATACGTGAAAAGTACGCTACGATTCGTTCGACGATTATCCCGTCTTACGAACGAAATTTTCGTATCCCGAAACTGTCGAGTCAACGACCTCTGTGAGATCAACGCGCAACCTTAATTAAACAACGCAACGGTGGGAAAGGAAGATTCGTCGGTGACCAATAACCGATAAGTAGGAACGGAAAGCCAAGGATAAGGCAACGAGTCGAATCTTAGATACGCGGTTGAGTTATCCAAGTGGAAATAAAAAAAAACTGACATCCAGGTGTTTTCTAATTTCACAAGCGTTTTCTCGCATGAACGAAGCCAGAGTACAAACTCTTTACGTAATGGACAAAGAAAGTCCCTCCGCACGAGTCACAAATCGGTCAAACGATTTTAAGCCTCAGATTCTACTTTAAAATATGGAGATTCGTTTTAAGCGATGAATTAACGACAAATATACTTTTTAATAAGGAGAAAGCACGATTCTAACGGTATTAACTAATTGCGCGTTGGAGTCATACTCGAAACGTTGATAAATCGAACCTTTATATCGATGTCGCGTCGTTCCACGCATTCGTCGTATCCCTACAGTAAACTGCATTACCTACAGACGTACATTACCGATTAAGACAGTTATCGCTCGAGCGGTAACGTTACCTACTATCGATATTCCCTTTCCCCGCGGATTATCCACCGTGTCTGTTCTGCACTGTAAAAATTACAGCGTTTTCGTTCGCTGTTCCAAAAAGTACAAGTAGAAAAAGACCTCAGATATCGCTCTTATTGCCGACACATAACCGAAACGAATTTACGTACGCGATAGCCATATTAAAATTCAAATTCTGCGAATTTAAAATACGTTACAAATGTGCATAGTAATTATGCGAGTCCAAGGCCCGAACGCAATGACACGGCGATATGATAGAATAAATTTGCAACGACTGGGCAAGGTCGCGCTTGGAATTTCACCAGTCGAACGAAATCCATTTGCACCTGTGACGCGTGGCGAATGTAAATGCGAATCCGTGGCGCGTCGCTGCGAGTACAGTTAAATTTTCATCGCGAGCAGCGCTGCGAAAGGAAACGACTTTACCATCGGTGACAGGGGCCATCCGTTCTCCCTCGGTTTTCCCAATGAACCGAAAGAGAGCTAGCACGAGAACCGCGACTCGAGGCATTCGACGGTCCGATCCTCGCTGTAACGAGTGTTCGGGCCAAGTAACGGTAAACGCCATATCGCGTCGCTCTTATATACTGTCCTATTCACAGTGCGCTCACTCTCGAAGGTTTTTTTTTCCCCAACTACTCTAAGCAACTGTTTATGATTCTCTACTACCTCGGCTCGAGTCGACTCGAAGTGCTTCTTCCTCGATATTCAACCTCGAATGATTCATGCTCTGAAACTTTTCTTGATTCACGTTTCTCTTTCTTCTTCCTTCTCACCGGGCAGACGCAACACGTTGCGACGGTTTAAACGGTTGCCAGATATGTAGGCTACCTTTACGAACGAGCAAATACGCTTAAAAGTAAACGGCTGAATCGGATAAAGCGTAACCCACTTCCTTTAACGCGGAACGCGTTCGTGGAAGTGTTTTCCGCGGCGGAGGCGGTCGGCTTCGATTTATATACGGGCACCGGGCATTGTTTTAACGGTTTGTCGTGTGTCGCGCGGCAGACAATAAAAGCACCGAGCGCGGAGATTCGCGATGGAACAGCCGGAAATAATAGCGGCGCGCCATGCGGAGAACCAGAGCAACTCCAACGTGAGAGAAGCGCGGAACAACGAGAACGGCCGTAAAAGGGACGTAAAACATTCTGTCAGCGCTGCGGCTTCTTTCTGGCCAACGATTTTATCCCGTTCACCAGGCCACCAGGGGAATAACAGATACTTCCTCTACGGTAATTTCGCAGTCCTTCGTCGTTTTAAAAATCGCCCTCGAGTCGTTTCGAGCTCTCGAATCGATGGACGGGAAACGGGAACGTTTTTCCGAGTCGTTGGCGCGGCAAAATATCGGTTCGCGAAAAACGAGAAAAATCCAGGGGCCTCCATCGGTCACCATTCGCCACCTGTTGCCCGCAGAAATTCGCCTGATACTGATTTACGATTCGGCCATTATCTCCGTCCTCTCTCTTTTCTCTTCATTTTCTCTCTCCCTCGCTGACGCGTTAAGACAAATGGCGGAACCGATAGAGCTCCCTGGGATCAAGGGAACACTCACCTTTGCTTGATTTTCCTCTCCGTTCCTCTCTTGCTTCTCGATGCCGATGAAACGGGTCTGAAAAATCGAGAAAACCGAAAATTAACCATCCAGCCAAACTGAAAACGAATGCACGATTTTCAATGACGATTAAATTAAATTGCAATCCTAGAATGACAAAAGACACATCCATTATCGTTCGTGATATTAACAATTGACGAAACATTGAATTAATCTGTCAGCTGATTATCTAAGTTCTTCTGCAATTCTTGAATGATAAATGGATCTACACTCAGTACTATATTGTCATTTGTCAATACCACTACCGATATTTGATCTATCCATTGATCATTCCCCTTGCTCTATGATTTACTTCTGACAAATTTACGTATCGAAAGAATATTCAATTTTTGGATTTATTAGAATTTTGGTCACGTTAATACAAGCATTAACTATAATTTGGATCGCATGAAGTTCTCATGCATCACAGTGCAAAGAATTAATACCAAATCTACCACGATCTAAACAACGCGATTTTCCTTCTAATATCATTGACTCCATTTTTCTTTCTCATCGTTTCCCATTTACCAGTAAATTTTCCAAAATCGTGGTGAATCTATGATTAATCCCAACGTATCGATCGTATCGGTGTGATCGGAGATTTATCGAAAGCCTCGAGCCCCGTTGCACGCGCGTGTATTTTCGAAAGCAAAGTAAGATAACGAGGGATTTAAATAGTTCTGACAAATTCACGTATCGAAAGAATATTCAATTTTTGGATTTATTAGAATTTTGGTCAAGTTAAGACAAGCATTAACTATAATTTGGATCGCATGAAGTTCTCATGCATCACAGTGCAAAGGATTAATACTAAATCTACCACGATCTAAACAACGCGATTTTCCTTCTAATATCATCGACTCCATTTTTCTTTCTCATCGTTTCCCATTTACCAGCAAATTTTCCAAAATCGTGATGAATCTATGATTAATCCTATCGTATCGATCGTATCGGTGTGATCGGAGATTTATCGAAAGCCTCGAGCCCCGTTGCACGCGCGCGTATTTTCAAAAACAAAGGAAGATAACGAACGATGCCCGCTACCGACGGTTATCTCTACGTATACACCGATGTCGTGATTGTAAATGGAAGTGACGCAACGAACGAAAGTGGCTAATAACGAGAGTCCCTCTGTTCGGCAACGTATCTCTTGAAACTCTCGGTAGACGAAGAGAAAGTCGGATCATCGACCACTTCCTTCTTACCAGCGTAATCCTCTCCCGAAAATTCGAGATGCACGTAGTGATCGCGGCCATCTTGTTCACCAGTTTCCTCAGCGGCCCGTAATCCGCCATTTTATCGTCCGCACGTTTCCTCACTCGCGAACGACTCCTCCGCAGTGTTTTCGCGATCCTCGGTGCCATCTGCGCGTTTTCGTTCGACAAACGCGACGTCGACTTGGATCGGACCGGATGCGACAGGTTGTTGGATCGATGACGATACTCGGCGTAACGGTCGAAGGTATACGGACAAAATGGCCGCGTGTTGACAAGCGCGCATCGCGTACGCGACTAATCACCGAACCGCAAAGCGCTGCGCGATCACACCGATACTCGGAACGAAAAGTGTTCATCGTTGCTATCTTACCTCGGCGGTTTCCTGGTGATAACGTTCACCGACAGCCTGAAACGCAAAAACGGTGCATGAGATACGGCAAGGAACGGCACACGCGGAATCTAATTCCTTCGTTGTATCGGCGGCAGCATCATTTTTCTGCCGCTATCTCGGATCTCGATGTTATCGCGATGTTATCGCGTAAGCTATTGTCGCGAAGGTTCATCTGAGATAAGAAGAAGTGGAACGACATATGGTTACGTTTTGGGAAGAACCGAGGGGGTCGGATAGTTTGAAATATTGGCAAGCTCGAATTCTTCTTTCTTTCTTCGATGCTAATTTTAACGCTAGATTTACGGACGCTATCCGTGTACCTATTTCTACATATTTGACACCTGTCAAATTGACAGGTAAAGGAAACCACGTGTCATTTTTTTTTTAACGATTCGTTTAATTTCAGAACAATTACAATATTAACAGTCTTAATATAAGTTAACTAAATCTGTTACTATGGTATAATTGGAGCAATCCATCCGTCAAATTGACGGGTTCCGTAAATCTAGTGTTAAACTTTTGCACTCGACGATTTTGTCGCTAGAGGAGAGTATAAATTCAAAGATTCTCTACTAAAATACTGTAGGATACCATTTTCAAGGAAGTTGCGAGTCGGTTATAGCCAACAAAAATAAATTATGAACCGATCGATATTTTCTAGAAGCAAATGGAAAAGTTATTGTAATAACAAAATTAAGTTGCGTGAGGTGAAGCGTAGGTTAAGGAAAGCATAAAAGCATGGTCCTTGAAAACCAAAACAGAGTCCTTAGAAATCGGTTGTGACCAGCACAAGCGTGAGTCGTTTGGTATTGGAAAGAGAATTTTAAAAGTGTACGTCCTTGTGTGTTTTCATTTCGTTATCTTGGTGTTCTTTTCCTAAGTTAAATCAGTTTACGTGAATTTTCGGTGTCTCAAGACCAGTTTCGTCATCCTACAATACTGACGATACCTTTTTGAGCAGTATAAATATAGAATTGTATAGTAATAGAATTGCAGAATTATTTGATTTCGATACCTCGCACACTATTACGTTAAATTTGATATATTAATTAATATCGATCTTCCAAATTTTACGAAATGGCGACTGAAGCTCGCCTCTCGAGTGCAAAGGGTTAACTCTTTGAGGTTAGGTGAGTTACAAACTAACCTTTCGTTTGGCAATTTATGCATCGTGGGATATATTCTATATATATGTACAGTTTGAGATTTTATTTAAAGTTTTTCATTTAGTTGGTAATACTGTGAACTAACCTCTTCAGGGACGAATATTTTTTAAGTCAATATTACAACGATAACGAAACAATAATTACAAAGTAAAATAAACCGCCATTAGCGATGATATTGGACAAGGTTTTCATTTTATCGTCGAGGTATTCTACACCGAATAATTGTCCACCTGATTTCAATTTCCTTTTCACTCGTAACAATCATAATTTAAAACGAGCTAAACGCGCATAAGTATAACGTGCCAGTATCCCTGGAGAGGTTAAATTAAATCACGGATCGCACGAAATCTCGAGACATTCTCGCCGATCTCGTTTCTCGTCTTTTACCGCGACCACTTTCTTTCCGGTTTTACTTTCGTACCGAGATATAAAGCACGAAGAAAAATTCGTGTCTGCGAGGTCGCTGAACGGGTAAAAGTTTGAACCCTCCCCACCCCGCCGGCACTCGCTTTTTATTATCTTCCACTTTTCTTTCCCTTTTTCGGACAAAGATCGTCTCGATACTTACGTGCACAGCGCCCGCGGTATCCGACGAGGTCGCCGAGGCTAGCTGGTTCCGGTTCTCTATGACCGTCTTTATTTGCTCGAGCACCTGCAAACCAACCGCACACACACACTCTTCAATTATCCACAATGCTACCCGTAATTATCGTTTCTGCAAACCCCGTGGCCTAGATTTCAACACTGACGTCTCTATTAAAACGGCAGTGGAAAAAAAGAGCGGTACTTTCCCGAGCCGACCGTTTCCCGTCTCTAACGCTTCACGGACTTTCCTTTTCGCCTTTTTCCCCCTTTTTCCTTTATTTCGATCTCGTTACGCGTTTAATGCGCCGGGATACGACCTGCACGGTGAAGCGTGCGAGCGCGAAACGATCGGTCGATCTCGACACGGGGTGCTGAGAACAGCTCTAACGAGACGTGGCTTTTCAGCAGATTAGGTGAGTCCGGGGTTGCAGGGATGACGATTAGAAGAAACGGAAGTTTCTTCGAAAATTAACACATTGCGTACCGCATAGAAATCTCTGATACATACGCCAGGGATCGCACGTTTTGAGAACACAGTGTGTTGATATCTAAGGTCCATAACAGATGACGCGTGGAAAATGAGAAAACTCGTAGGCAATACGCAATGTGTTAAAGCATCGATGGAAGAACTCGCAGGAAGTCGGTGAAAATCGAAGGAAATTACCCGGAGCGATATCCTGTGCCTCTGCACGACGTGTTGATTGTACTCCTTGTGCTCGATCTCGTTGCTCTTTCTCGTTTGCCTCCGCTGGAAAACACAGAAAGAAATGGACGATGGTCACGAGAGCTTGCGCTTCATCCGCGTGTCACGTTTTTCCACGGTCGCGAAAACGATTCGCGACTTTCCTCGAGTATCAGAACGGAACGTTTTCCCTACTACTCCTTGCGAGTGGAAAAGATCGGCGTTTCTTTCGACCTATCTAGAAGCGTTCCTCGTAAAATCGGTTCACTGCAAGATATATTGATGTATAATGTACAGGGAACTCGCGTGTGCAGATATATAATGGAAAATGGGAGACAGGAATGGGACAACTTAGTGCTATGGACGCGACATCTTTGAGTTAGACCTAACCTAAACTAACAGTCCTCGCTCGCATCGTGGGAGACTTTTCTATAAAATATTGGATCAAGATATCTAAAACGGAAGAGTATCTGCCATGGGGCATCGGTATTGCGTTCTAAAACTCCTATTTTTCGGACTAGGTATCGGTCCGTTCTCGTAGTACCCGAGTCTCGCACGTGGCGAATTGGTTTTTCATTGCTACTCCTTACGAGTGGGAAAGATCGGCGTTTCCTTCGACCTATTTAGAAGCAGTCCTTGTAAAATCGGTTTACTATAGGATATATTGATGTATAATATATAAGGAACTCACGTGTGCAGATATATAATGGAAAATGGAAGACAGAGACCAGACAACTTAGTGCTATGGACGCGACATCTTTGAGTTAGACCTAACCTAAATTAACAACCCTCGTTCGCACCATGGGCGACTCTTTTATAAAATATTGGATCAAGTTTAAAATGGAAGAGTATCTATCATTGGGCATCGATACTTGGTATATTTGTCATCGGTATTTTTCGGATCAGGCATCGGTCCGTTCTCGTAGTACCCGAGTCTCGCACGTGGCGAATTGGTTATTCATTGCTACTCCTTACGAGTGGGAAAGATCGGCGTTTCCTTCGACCTATTTAGAAGCAGTCCTTGTAAAATCGGTTTACCATAGGATATATTGATGTATAATATATAAGGAACTCACGTGTGCAGATATATAATGGAAAATGGAAGACAGAGACCAGACAACTTAGTGCTATGGACGCGACATCTTTGAGTTAGACCTAACCTAAATTAACAACCCTAGTTCGCACCATGGGCGACTCTTTTATAAAATATTGGATCAAGTTTAAAATGGAAGAGTATCTATCATTGGGCATCGATACTTGGTATATTTATTATCGGTATTTTTCGGATCAGGCATCGGTCCGTTCTCGTAGTACCCGAGTCTCGCACGTGGCGAATTGGTTATTCATTGCTACTCCTTACGAGTGGAAAAGATCGGCGTTTCCTTCGACCTATTTAGAAGCAGTCCTTGTAAAATCGGTTTACCATAGGATATATTGATGTATAATATATAAGGAACTCACGTGTGCAGATATATAATGGAAAATGGAAGACAGAGACCAGACAACTTAGTGCTATGGACGCGACATCTTTGAGTTAGACCTAACCTAAATTAACAATCCTAGTTCGCACCATGGGCGACTCTTTTATAAAATATTGGATCAAGTTTAAAATGGAAGAGTATTTATCATTGGGCATCGATACTTGGTATATTTATTATCGGTATTTTTCGGATCAGGCATCGGTCCGTTCTCGTAGTACCCGAGTCTCGCACGTGGCGAATTGGTTATTCATTGCTACTCCTTACGAGTGGAAAAGATCGGTGTTTCCTTCGACCTATTTAGAAGCAGTCCTTGTAAAATCGGTTTACCATAGGATATATTGATGTATAATATATAAGGAACTCACGTGTGCAGATATATAATGGAAAATGGAAGACAGAGACCAGACAACTTAGTGCTATGGACGCGACATCTTTGAGTTAGACCTAACCTAAATTAACAACCCTAGTTCGCACCATGGGCGACTCTTTTATAAAATATTGGATCAAGTTTAAAATGGAAGAGTATCTATCATTGGGCATCGATACTTGGTATATTTATCATCGGTATTTTTCGGATCAGGTATCGGTCCGTTCTCGTAGTAACCGAGTCTCGCACGTGGCGAATTGGTTTTTCATTGCTACTCCATACGAGTGAAAAAAATCGGCATTTCTTTCAATCCATCTAGCAACGTTCTTTGTAAAATCGGTTCACTGGAAGATATATTGAACTCGCGTGTGTAGATGTATAGTGAAAAATGAAAGACGAGAACAGGACAACTTGATGCTATGGACGCGACGACATTCTCTAGATAGACCTAACCTAAACTAACAGCCCTCGTTCGCACCATGGACGACTCTTCTACGAAATATAATCCCAAAATACCTAAAACGGAAGAGTCTCTGTCATCGGACCACGATACTTGTTATATAATATTTGACATCGGTATTGCGTTCCAACACTCTTATTTCTCGGACCAGGTATCGGGCCATCCTCGTAGTACCCGAGTCTCGCACGTGGCGAATTGGATCTTCCCTCCTATCCTTGCGAGTGGAAAAGATCGGCGTTTCTACGTTTCGATCTATCTTGATCTGTTCGCTGCTCGCTTTCGGACCAGATACCGATCTATACCACGGGTATTCGCAAATGCACGCACGTGGCGAATTCGTTCTTCCCTACTACTCCTTGCGAGTGGAAAGGATCTGGTCGGCGTTCCTGCGTTTCGACCTATCTAGATCCGTTCGCTCCTCGCTTTCGGATCAGATACCGATCTACCGCGGTCCTCGTATGCACACGTGGAGAATGCGATCTTCCCGTGTCACCTGTACTATGCTTCGTCCCCTGTGCTCGTACGCGTCCCAGCGGAGAAGGTAAATAAACGTGGGCAAATGTAAATAAATAACCAGGTATGTAAATAAACAAAACGGATGTAAATAAACACGGTACCGGTGGATAAACAACTGCCAAGTTGCAAACGAGCGAGTACAGAGCACTGTTTCTGTATTTTCATAATGTCGCATTTCGCGATATTAATGCTCGAGTGACTAGGTTCCGCGGATTTTATTATTCGCAATTGCATCTGCCGCTTATTAGCAAAATCAACGTCCATTTAATCGAATGAAAACGCGATTACGTACATCGCTGTTTTCCATCGAAAATGTATGGATTTTCGAAAACCAGATTATTTTTTAATGGCTATTCGAAGCAGGGTTTCTCAATATTTCTCCTCTTGCGGCTAAATTCGAACATCCGATTTTCTTTATTTTCCTCGCATACTGGAAATTGCAATTGAAATTTGGACTGAGGTATAAAGCTCAAAATGGTTGCATCGTGCATAAACTAGTTTATATAAACCCTCGTGCATATTACAATCAATATAAAACTGAATTTATATTTGTCAAATTAATTAAATGAAATTAATTCGCGAAATTCTTCGTTTCTTTCAACGCTAAAATTACTTTTAAAATTTTTTATTTAAAATTCAGCGTTCAATCTTATCGCTTTGCTCGACAACGTCATTTGTCCTTTAGTATACATGTAATCGATTTTTCAATATTTCCTGTCCTTCAATTTTTCTTTCCTTTTCTTTAAGGTTTCCCTTTTCTCCTCTTTTCTTGTATCGGTTAATTTGACCTGCCATGGTAAGTTTAGCGTCAATGGTGTCAAAAATTCGACGCGTTGACCTCTATGCCGCATGGTCCCCGTTTAGAAACCCTGGTTTAAAGGGAGTTGTTTTCGTCAAATAAGTCATGCGTGTCTGCATGGTACGGTAGCGAACGTGTTAACGACTTTTATTTAGATAGAACCGTAATTGTATACGTCTATTTATCTTCATCGTATCACGTTAATTAATACTATCTATGCGTACTGTATTTATGTAGGTCGTTGGTTCTAGCGTTAATTATCGTCATTCGGGTATAGTATATTCAACCACTGCCACGTGTCGCATGGTATACTGAATCGCGAGTATATTATTACTCGTCGCAATCGGACTCTTAACACTGAACCTATCGTGGCCTATATCGCCGATTTTAAAACTGTCATTAAAAATTCCGCACTTATTCCAAGCTATCGTCTTAGTCACTCGCCGATATATCTAATCAATTTTCCAACGTCTCTGGTTATAACAGTTTTACTTCGTGTGCATTTACCGGTCGTTTCACGGTGTCAGGTTGAGCGTTAAAAATTCGAGGACGGTGCAAAGACACGGTGCGGATTGACCTTCCGCGTCATCCTCGTCGCTCCCTTTCCGCTTGATCCGTGACCGGCGGAAAATCGCGGTGTTTTTCGCTCGAATCACCTTTCGCTGCACGATCGTTGCCCCCGTTCGTGACGCGGGCAAAATGGAATCCGCTCGGATGACGGGCGTCTGAAAAGCGGTGCCGAGACAGCGAGCTGCGCGCGGATCTCGTGAGTCGCGTAAAAGCGTGCACGCGACGACAATTAGCAAACAAAGCGCGAGTCGACGCGTTATAAATCGTCCTCGCCGTGGAATCTCCACCGATCACCGTCTCGCGACAATGGATTATTTGTTCGCCGGGTCCCGCGATCTAGCACGCCTCCGCTCCAAGGAGGAAAGAGGAACACGCGCGCGACCACCGATGGAAACCGCTCGCTCGCCGAGGATTTTCGCTTTTCCGCGTCACGCTTCCCTCGTGAATAATTCAACGACGCGTGGTTTTTCGTGACTCGACGCCGGATTTCGACGCCCTCGTTGGCTTCGCGGTTCACGGCCGAGGAGGAAGGACCGACGCGATTTCGAGCCTCGAGAGGAGCACACCCGGAGAGATTAATCGGATAGATGGTGGACGATTCGAGGAATAGAAACGTTAGTCACAGCGTGAGATCGCGCGGCGAGGAAATTGGAAGACGAGTCACGAGCCGATCCTGGACATGTGTAACCGCCTTAACTCGATTCACGCGTGCCTAGAATGCCTGGCTCGGCATTACGCTCATTGGATAACGAGAATAACGCCTCCTCCGCGCCTCTGTTTATCATTCTCCGCTCAAGTCACGGGAATTACATCAATCACCGTGAACCAAGCACCCGATGCGATTGTTTTCGAACCACGGACGAGTCGAGATCCGGCCAACGGATTTTTCGCGCGCCATTTCGTTCCCGTGTACTTATCGAGACTGCGTTCGACCCTTGGGGGTGTTTACGAAATTTCCAAAAATCTTTTCAACCCCTTCTTAATTTTACCTCCGAAGTATACGACCGATGCTTGATTCCTTATATTTAAAACAAATTTCTACTTCTCGTTTTGCGAGCGATTGATACTATAAACCTAACCTAACCTAATTTTCCAGCGAAAGCGCAAAATTTGGGAAATTTCTGAAGCGAAACGATCAGGCTAACAGAATAATTTCCCCAGTTAAACGTACCGAGCAAAGTACCAGCCACGTGTGCTACAAAGGGACACGAGAAATTGAAAAAAACTGCGCCGTACGTCGTAACTCAGTGCCGACAGGATCCTCGACGTTTCACGGATTCAGTAGCTCGTAAATAAAGAAAGAAGGTACCAACCTCGAGGGTAGCCAGGCTGGCCAACGACGAGAGAGGTCGAGTGTGAGGAACCTCCCCGGGGAAAACGCTGTCGTGCGAAACGGACAATTTTCCGGCTCCTCCTCGCAGCTTCACGAACGATTCCTCCATGCCCGTCCTCCTGAGGAACACGCTGGAAAACAAAGGCAAAAGAGGTGTCATTGAACGGGGAACGGGAAACTGGTTTGCCCTCCGGTTGCAGCCGCAGGAAAAAGCGGCATGCTGTATATCGTGTCTTCGAGTTACGACCAAGTAAGTTCACTCGCGAGGCAACTTTTTAGCCTAGCTGGGGTAATCTAGCGGCAAGCAGCGAATGGCAACTGCTTTTTCCGCCGATCTACCGCGCAGACCTGCAGTTACGAAACCCGGCAATCGAAAGGTCGCGCTGGACGACGATCTCGATCGATTAGAGACTCGGAGACCGGCCTGCTCGTCGATCGCAGTCGAATCGCGAAAATAAAGGACAGTAGGTCAGGAGGAAGGTATCGAACCGTGGTGCGTGCACGCGAGCTATCTTTCGTGACGGAGGAGTAAAACTCGAGCAGCCTGAACCAGGCCAAGGATATTCGCTGGTCGTACGAATTTCTTCCGAATCGTTTGCGAAACTCCAGTTCTGCGCCATCTTTGCTATTTTCCGGCTAACGTCAGCCAATTACCTAGCCGATAAGGCACGCCTGGGACCAGGTAGAGGCATAGTCCGACGACGAAAAAGCCGAGGAGATCGGTATCTCCTGACGATATTCACCGAATAATCCTGAAGTCACGCCAGCCTGCACCTTGCAGACGAGCTTTGCCCGCTGAAACGGTAACAATGCGATACAACTGGAGCCTCGGTTTCTCTCTATCCTCGTTCCGGCTGCCTTTAAATAAAGGATGACAAATGGGTATGTTAACCCCTTGCGCTGGGGCTACCGACTCCACGCTTACTCGCCGATACTCGAACGCTGGCCTCGCGTTATACCGTTTACGGTTCGCGCCACGTTGCACTGCGATTTGCGGCATATGTAAAATATAGGGTTCGTTGAACCGGAACTCTAACCCGGAAATCAATGTTCGTTTACCCGCGCCGTCACGAGTGGCTCTATGGCAGATGGATGTATAGCTCCGATCGCGGGTTAGCACATGCAGGATGTGCAGATGGAACAGTGCAAGTTGGAAATTTGTTACGATCACGGCAGAAGTTTCTGCAGGGCCTCTGATACTGGTGTTATGCAGCGCGGTATGTTCCAATTGCATGATTTATATTTCACGTCGATCAAACAGATCAAATGTCGCATCGATGAGTAAGATGGCTAAAGATGAAGAATGAAGAGAGGAGTTCCTCGTGATCGAAGGTGTGAGGCTCATTCCTTTTGATCGCATAGCAAACGCGAGGAATTAATAGTTATTTGAGTAAGGATCAGAAATTAATAATTGTGGTATAATTTAAATATGACCTGAAAACGCGCTTCATTTTTAACACTACAACTACCAACCCAGTGAAAATGACTGGTCCCAGAATTTTCCTTTTTGCGATCACCGAACACATAACAAGGATCAGAAATTAATAATTGTGGTATAATTTAAATATGACCTGAAAACGCGCTTAATTTTTAATACTACAACTACCAACCCAGTGAAAATGACTGGCCCCAGAATTTTCCTTTTTGCGATCACCGAACACATACACCTGCTTTAAGAATAAAATTGGTATCAACTCGTATTAAGAAAGAACTGTAATCGATATATTCACTCGTATTCATCGTATCGCTGAAATTACTATAATCTGTGCTAGTTATAGTTAGGTACCCATTAAAGATCGGTAGTTCTAGTGTTAACGAACCCTATTGGGATTATGAGTTCTAATAGTAAAATAACTACGATGTATATATATTCTTCTTTATAGTCTTTTATTTCTCAAGCAAGGTATATGTTTCTTCTAATGCTTCTCCTGAGAGACTGACCGACCCCATTAATACACATTTGCAGCTGTACCCGACTCCGGAGAGAGTATCAAGAGGGTACGCCCAAACCCCTAACTCCCATCGAATATTTATATAAACATTCGTTCTGGGAACTTATATCTTGTAAACTAGATTGATTTTTGACTACAGCTAAACTTATCTTTCAAACGAACCCTAAATATTTTACCCAAGACAAGTTGTTGTATTAATTTCATCTAGGATTCATATGACGAAAGTGGCAACGAGCTGACAGTAAATTAAGTGGAAATTAAACGTCACTTTAACGAGCAAAATGGAAATAGAAAATGAGAAGGAAAAACTGAGAAAGTTAGACTGAATTCTCTCCAAACGAAAAGGATCAACAAGTATGTACAGTACGCGACAAAATTAAACAGCACACCCCGTAGTTTCCAGTGTATCTGGACCATAATTTTTGTTCAATATCTTTATCATCTGTTTTGAACGATATCTATTGGGATTATGGGTAAAATCGTTCTTTATAATTATCTTTATTCTATTCTTAGGAGAAATAGATATGCCTTTGAACTATGGGTCGAAGAGGTTCCTGTAGATAAGAATTAGGGGATCAGGATGAGCTGCAATTGCATATCCTATCTTTTCATCACTCTAGTTTTGTTTCTCCATGCATACAGTTAGAATACAGAAGATATACTGCGAGAGGAATCTTTACTTGTATGGCGAGATTTATCTTTGTTTCGAGGAACCATCATTGTCAGAGAGACTATAAAAACCTATCTGAAAGGTTCGACGATAGACTTTTTGACAGTCCACTGTCTGCACCACGCATCATGGACTTCGAGCCTCCGTATATTTTATACCGCCAAGAAATATAAAATATAATCAGAATCAAAAATCCCTTTTGATTTGTTAATGCGATCCTTACCACAATACCTTTCTAAGAATAGAATAAAGATAATTATAAAGAAAGATAGTTATTTCTTTTTACCCATAATCCCAATAATACCTAACCTAATCTTCCCTCGTGAAATCAAATTTATTCACAATAAGACGATCTTTTTGCCAATATAAATATTCCTCTGCAGCTATTCTGCCGTCACTGAAAACCATGATGCCCACTATCATTTGTCGCCTCGAGTGCCAAAATGAAACTAGAATCGCAGGCGAAGGAATAAAAAGAGAAAGTCTCGACACTCTCGATTGCACACGGATAATTACCCAACTACGAAGACACCTCATCGAGGAAAACAGAAAAAGGAAAAATCGCGAGACTCACCTCTCTCGATCGCAGGAGTCCGTGAGTAGCTCGCTGGCGCTCCTGCTGCGAGCCTCTTCGGGACGTCCCGCGGGATGTCTGTCGGTGACGTCTTCCCTCGGGAGTCGGACCATTTCCGCGTCCCGGTCGATGCCATGGCTGGAGACCAGTCGGGCGTCAGCCGCTCCTCGACTCTTACGCCGGAAGATCTTCCTGAGGCCACGCAGGGGATGGAAGCGGCGCTTCTTTGGCTCTGCAAGCAAAGCGGTCGCAAAAGGATCAGCCAATTAGCCAAACCGATCTCGCGTTCCGAACTTTCTCCCAGACATTGCGTAACTCTGGCGAGGTTCGCGCACAGGACCTCGAGCGAACCCGGCTATCAATGAGAAGTGAAAAGCAGTCTGGCTCGATCGTCGCGTGCAGGTTTCTCCTGATTAGAAACGACGGTCCCCTGGCATTATTTTTGTTCCATTCCACGCGAAAAACGATATTCCATCGCTTTCCTTTTCGTTTTCTCGACACTGGTCTCGGCTCGAGGGATAATTCGCTCGATGCTATCGGATAGATCGAAGACTTTGAAAGGTTTCCGCAGATAACGAGTGACTCGGATCGAAAGTAAACAGATAATCGCGCAACGACCACGTATATGCACGAGCCACATCGATCGTGGTTACATGGATCGATATCTGTCTCGCAGATAAGCTGTCCATTAAAAACCAGCGTCGACCTTTTTATCGTTGCCGCCTGATGAATCAGCCTCGAAGGGAACTTTGTATCCCGACGTGCCCTAGTTCGCGTTAACCTCGCAACAATTTTCCCGTGGGCGGCCGAGACCCAGGAAAATCCGATTTCCAGCAGTCGGCAAACGATTCCACGATGACCTACTTGCTCCTGAATGGACAAGCATAGTCTATTCGATCCGAGGACGAATCGCGATTCCTCGCGCTCGACCAAGGTGCGCGGGGTTGACTAGGGGTGCTCTGCCATACTCGCGCGACCCTGAGGATCGAAGTCGAGAGGAGAAGAATGGCAGGTGATCGGGTGGCGGAGCAGGGACGCTGGATAAGCAAATGACACGAGTCCTTGAGATGCTCGTGGCACTCGTTAACGCACGGATACCTTTTAATTGCGGGTATCGGTGGAAAGGGTGGCGAGCGTCGACAAAGAGGAGTCCAAGGTGAAAGGAAAAAGCGACCACGCTTTGAATCGTCGAAAAGGCACAGGAATAATGGGCGCACGAGTGGAGGGTGCGATTCAGAGGGTAGCTGCGACACCCTCGGTCGTCCTCGCTCGCGATTAAAGCCGCGGAACGCGCGCAAACCGCTCGCGTGTCTTTCCTCTCGAGACCCCGTCTCACGGACTCGGTTCGGCTAGGGTTCCCGCTTTCTCCCTTTCCACTCTACCTCCCAGACTCGCGCGATTTCCACTCGATCCGCAAACGCACCCTCTAACCCCGGCTTCAGTCGATTTCCTATTGTCCTCGCGAATTTCAACCACGCTTTCTTGCGTCACGACCACCGTTCACGCACTCGCCATTGGAGGGAACGAAGGAGGTTCGAGGTTCCTCGCAAGTCCCCGTATATACAAATTCCTGACCTGTCAATAGTATTCCCCATCTAAGGCGCGCGCCTGCTGGGTAGCCTGACTGACGAGTCACTCGTAGGCCCAGGATGGAACCCCTCCTTGCCTTTCGTCCTTTCCAGCAACTACCTGAACGAAGAGACGTCATGCCAACATCGAAATAAATTCACTCGTATCTCAAAATATTCTCACGTTAGTCACTGATCTCGGGGATGAGTGAAAATACTAAGGAAAAAATTTGAAGAATATTATTGGTAAAGAATATTATTTACTATTGGTATGCTCTGGAATTCCCATGGTAGATCGATGCAATTTCTCGAACATTTGCAATGTTTCAAAGCTAAGAGAAGAAGCGATATTTCGGACATTTTTATATTTCCCGTGGAAAAATATCGAGAGACCCGGGTCGAAGCTCGAGTGGTTTAGAAATTGCGAATCTTCACTCAGACGCGATTCGCGATGAACGGAACGATATACGGGAATAAATCTGGTAACAGACCCCGGTTGGATCTCCATTCCCATTGAAGTTGACAGAAAATTGTAGAAAAAAAATTTGGTATTGTTGGACAAGCTGAATCGTCGCGTAGCGCGATATTTTTCACAGGTGCATTCGCACAGTTGCAACGTGCAATTGCGCCCGTTTTTTTATCTCTCGCTCTGTAACACCGAGACACACTCGTATCAAGGATTATAATCTCAATTTCACTTCGGTATCGAGGATTATTAAATACAAATCCCGCGTGATATCTCGAAATTATATAATAGTCATATAAAGTATCGAGCAGCTGGCTCTAATTGTAAGTATAACATCCTGATACATTCCTCGGTAGGATGGCACGAAGAATCAAATTAGACGAACAATTTGAGAGTCCATTTGAAAAACTAGCGTTTAAATAACACGATATCTTACTTTTCAATTATTCCCTAGCTTCGATGGGATTAGACATACCTATAACCAGGTCTAGTTACACACTAGAGACTAGAGGCCGCCAAATGGTGGGAATCCGTGAGAAAATTTCGGTTCGCGGGGAAATGATATAATTAAATAAGCATTTTCAATTCTCTTATATTAACACGTTAAACGCCAGGCCGGTTTTACGTACCGTTCCATTCACGCCAGTTAGCCGTCATGTGGGCCCTTCCGGGCCGGACGGACCGGTGAGGCCTGAACGGAAAGTCTAGCACAGGTTACTAGGGACCGACATGGCGTGTTAAACAGACGCACTTCGTATTAACCCTTTGCACTCGTGAGGCACCCTTTAGTCGCCATTTAATAAAATTTCGAAGATCTTAATTAATATGTGAAATTTAAGATAGTGAAACCGTGTGCGAGGTATCGAGATCAAATAATTCTACGTGTCAATTATCATACCATTTCTTAACTATTGTTTAAAAAAATATCGTCAGCTTTATGGCAGAAAATCTTCAAACTCCTACTCTTCTTTAACCAAAAAATCGTCGAGTGCCAAGGGTTAACGCGCATAAATTATCAAACGATATATCAAAAAAAAAAAGGAAAAATTATTAACGTACTCGATTCTCAGAAAATACTTTAACACGTTGAATAACATGGGGGTCACCGGTGACCGGCGCGCCCAGATTGATAGATATATACATAATTTAAACAAATGTCAATATTTAGAAATTTTATCATTACCATCGTTAATTCAATGGTGACCCCCGTTACAATTAACATATCAAACACGGTAACTTATCTATTGCAGATAATATTTCAACATCATACGTATCGCATAGTAGAAAACTCATCGTGGCGCCATCCCTGTAAAACTGGCGTGGCATTCGACGTGTTAAATAAAAGAAATAAATTAAAAAATTAGTATCGCCGGTAACCGGTGCCCACCATGACAGTCGACGTGTTAATAATAAGCACGTTCTCTAATCGTTACTTCGCAAATGTATTTAACTCTTTAAACAAGTCCGACAGGTTGGCGACCGCTGCACCAGACTCGCTGCGTACACAGTGCAGTAAAGAGAGTTACCTAGAAATTGCAGGAAATTCCTGTAGTCTTGCATCCGGCCGAATTTTCCACGGGCGTGTCGTAAATCGTGCATACGCTTAGGCTAAGGTCCCGATTAGCTCGCATCCGGATGAATTTTCCACAGACACGCCGCAAATCGCACACACGGTATGCACTCGACTAACGATTCGATAACGCGGAACTCCGATGTCGATAAGATTACGCGACACAGGCGAGCGATAACCCTATCGGTTGATTTCCCTTATATGGCGAAAATCAAGCGCAGCCGATAATACCACTTTTCCATACCCGCGTCGATTATCTATCACCTCCTCGCTATCCTCGCGCGCGTTATCGCCGGTTCTCGGAGTTGGCCGGAGACCGAGCGTCTTGCGTGGATCGAGAGCGGCGCTGATCCGGCGTGATCAGCGTCACGACGGCTCGCGTCGACTGGGGAACGCGTCTGAAGAATTTCATCTGGCCGGCGTCACGCGACGCGTCCATCTCCTTTTCCGCGCGCTTTCTCGCGCGGCGCCGTTTTTAATTCATCACGCCGGCGAAACGAGCACGGGAGTCGCGAAGCGGATAGAATCGGCGCGTAATTGGAAATCCTGTAATTCCTGGCGAACACCGACGCACGCCGGAGTAACTTAATACCCGCGTTCGAGTGGCCATTCATTCCGCGATTGGCCATGGCCCAGTTCCGTGGTTTCTGCAAATAACCGCGTGCACGGTCTTGCACAATAGCATCGGCAGCCACGGAGTACTTTCTTCGCCGAATTTCCGCTCGATCCGGCCAGCTATGCCGCGAGTATATCGGACTTAGGTGTACTGGAAACCGAGAAAGTTGGGAAAAAAGGAGATCGGCGGGGGAACCGGATAGCATCGGGCCAATCGCAGGAGATCGGATGTCCTGCGTGGATGAGGTAGTCCTCCGACTGGTCCTGGTAGCCCTCGGCCGCAGGAGGGAGCGTCATACCACCGACTGTTTCGCGTGTACTTGACACTCTCCTCTCCGCGAGTGTGCTTTTCACGCATCAGCTGCGGCGACATCGCTGAAGCGTGAAAAATAACGTCACGCGCGAATCGTTCGACGCAGGCCGGGGCAGGAATCCGCGTCCTCCGCGGAGGAACTCGCGATCTACCGCGTCGTCGGTCTACCACGGAGTTTACGTAACCACGGCTTGCCTAATTTCGACTATGGATCGACCGGATAATCCCAAGGCACGCGGTTCGGTACGCCGCTCGGGCCCTCGCCGAGCTGATCTCGTTTCGCCTCGCCGATCACTTTACAGTCATCGCGCGTTCTATACTCGGCCCTCCGACTCGCAGAACCCGTTCGATTCCAGACGCGCGGCTCGCGTAACACCTCGCTCCTTTTCGTCAAACCCACCGTGCAAACCACGCCATCTTGGTACACCGGAACGCCGATTATTCGAATTAATCGAGGCAAAGCGGTTCGAGTAATTAGACCGACAGAAGAAAGCAAATTTTCAATCACGAGTCCAGCGGAGATTAACCGGTTAACTGCGGAATTAAAATGAGGAGTACAGATATTAAATACAAGGCAAATGTTCCTGTTATAGATTTTACGAGAAGAGGAAAGCAACTGGAGGAAGTAATATCGATTTTTATTCGATACAAAATTAACCAGAAAAATTAAAGGGGAATAATTTTTTGGAATTCATTCGAT